TTTTTTTTTTTGAGACTGAGTCTCACTATGTTGCTTCTGATAGAGTGCCGTTGCATCACAGTTCACAGCAACCTCAAACTCTTGGGCTTAAGTGATTCTCTTGCCTCAGCCTCCCAAGTAGCTGGGACTACAGGTGCCGGACACAATTCCTGGCTATTTTTTTGTAATTATTGGTTAGCTGGCCCAGGCCAGGTTTGAACCTGCCAACTTCAGTGTATGTGGTTGGCATCGTAACCACTGTGCTACAGGCGTCAAGCCTGATTTCTGGTAGGAATAAGGAACACAAATACATTTAAAATACTCAACTAGGCCAGGTATGGTGGCTCATGCCTGTAATCTCAGGCTTCTGGGAGGTCAAGGTGAGTTGATTGCCTGAGGTTAGGAGTTCAAGATCAGGCTGAGCAAGAGCAAGACCGCACCTCTAAAACAGCTGGGCTTTGCGGTGGCCAACTGTAGTCCCAGCTACCAGGGAAGCTTAGGCAAGAGGATTGCTTAAGACCAAGAGTTTGAGGTTGCTGTGAACTATGACGCCATGGCATTCTACCAAATGTGACAAAAGAAGACTCTTGTCTCAAAATAAATAAATAAAATAAAAATAAAATGTTACCCAACTAATTGAGATTAACTCAAATATCATAAAATATATACAGATAAATTTGACATAGTCTTTTAACTTTGAGGCTGTAACAAAAGACAAAAACAAATTTATATAACACAGTGTATAACTGCCCCCAAATAGGGGGCGCAAAGCAGGAAATACTCCCTTTATAATTCATGGGGCCAGGGTTAGGGGAAGACTCCCAGGCAGAGGATGACCAGTGGAGATGTACACCCTGCTCTATTCAGGGAACTACAGCTCCTCAGAAGCCAAAGTGATGGGTTTATGTCATGAAATGAGACTAGAAAGTTAGGCAAAAGGGCCATATCATGAGAGGCGTTTTTTTTTTTTCTTTTTTGAGACAGGGTCTTGCTCTGTTGCCCAAGGGGCAGTCAAAGCTCACTGCAACCTCCAACTCTGAGGCTTAAGTAATCCTCCTGCTTCAGCCCCTAGAGTAGTTAGGACTACAGGAGTGTGCCACCATGCCTGGCTATTCTTTTTTTAATAGATAGGGTCTTGCCATGTTGTCCAGGTTGGTCTTTAATTCCTGCCCTCACGAGACCTTCCCTCCTTGGCTTCCCAAAGTGCTGGGATTAGACATGTGAGCCACTGTGCCCAGTCCATGAAGTGCTTTTTGATGCTGCAAAAAAGGAGTCTGAACTTTTTTTCTGTAGGCAACGTTTTTAAAAGTGGGGTCTTCTGAACCCTGGCAATAGATTACCTGGGGTGCTTGTTAAATACAAGGACTTATCATAGACCTACTGAAATCAGAATTTCTGGAGGTAGGGCAAGAGATATTATTTAAACAAACTCCCCAAGTAACTCATGTATACACTAAACTTTATAATAATGACAATTACAGCACAAGCCACATGCACCGAGGCTGGTGGGTTTGAGCCCGACCGGGGCCAGCTAACCAACAATGACAACTGCAACAAAAAAATAGCTGGGCATTGTGGCAGGCAGCTACTTAGGAGGCTGAGGCAAGAGAATCGCTTAAGCCCAAGAGTTTGAGGTTGCTGTGAGCTGTGACGCTATGGCACTCTATCAAGGGTGACATAGTGAGACTTTGTCTCAAAAAAAAAAAAAGATTACAATATTAATAGCTGACATATATCAAGACCCTAGACCCTACTATGTTCCAATCATTATACTAAGCACTTCACATATTGTAACTTATTTAATCCTAACAACAATTCTGAGTTTGGTACTATAATAAAAACAATTTTACAGAGAAAGAAAGAAATACAAAGAGATTAAGTTATTTGCTCTATGTCACAAGCTAGTAAGAGGAGGCAGGATACAAACATCAGCAGTCTGATTCAGAAGTCACATTGTAGGCTGGGCATGGTGTCCCAGCGCTGTGGGAGGCTGAGGCGGATGGATCACCTGAGCTCAGCCAAGTTCGAGACCAGCTGAAGACCAGCATGAGGCAGAGTGAGTCAGAGTAAGACCCCGTCTCTACAATAACAACAACAAAAAGCAGCCGGACCTTGTGATTCCAGCTACATGGAGGGCAAGAGAACACTACAGGAGGAAGAAGTAAAAAAAAAAAAAAACAAAAGAAAGAAAAAAGAAGTCACACTGTACTCACTGCAGACTGTGTAAGGCAGCAGTTCTCAACTTGTGGGTCGTGACCCACAGGGACTGTATTAAAGGGCCATGGCATTAGGAAAATTGAGAACCACTGGTTTAAGGGACCTGAAGAAGACATTTAATTGATTGATATCATCATAAATGCTGATTAGGAGATCAGTTTGGCAGTGAGCGTGTCAGTCTGTCTCAGAGGGCAAAGGAGGAGAGATTGATGCTGAGTAAGCCAGTGTGGAGCCTTCTAACCGACTAGTGGCTGCAAAAGTGGCAATGGAGATAGATAGTTGAAAGTGACTAAAACCAGAAAGTAAACGTCTAATCTAGGATGATGGCAGATGTGGTGGCTCACACCTGTAATTCCAGCACTTTGGGAAGCTGAGGAAGGAGGAATGCTTGAAGCCAGGAGTTTGAGACCAGCCTGAGCAACACAGCATGACCTCTACAAAAACGCTAAAAAATTAGCTAAGTTTGGTGGGCATGTGGCTGCAGTCTCATCTACTTGGGAGAATAAGGCAGGAGGGTCACTTGAGCCCAATTTAAGCCTGCACTGAGTTACTGCACTCCAGCCTGGGCAACAGAGTGATACCTTTTCTCTAACAATACTGCTGCTAATTATAATCTAGAATGAGTGCTGAAGCCTCAGCTTTATCTGTCATGGTGAGGCCAATCACTGGGATACAAAGAGAAGGAGGAGCAGAATGTGGTCAAACAATGAGCTTAAATCTGATGAGAAAGTCGACCTACCCCACTGGGCAAGAGGCCTATCCACTCAGCTAATGAAGGAATACTGACCAACATAAATCTTGGTCATGTCAAAGGGCACATGGTAGCTCTTTACCTGGCCAAGGGAGAGAGCCCAAGGGGAAGAGTGCAGACTGGTAAGACAAGACAGCCCAAATGGCAGAGCTCATTCGGTGCAGCTGACTGTGGTGGGGATGCTAGCTTTTCACATTTCTCTGAACAGAGCTCTCCCTGTCCTGAGAAGAACACGTCACACACAGGGAACATGAGGCCATTCCCGGAGTAAACAGGACAGTGCAAAGCTGGAGAGGGCTCTCTGCTTACTGAGCTGTCTGTGTATTCTCCACTCTGAAACTCTGGGATTCATGAAATCACAAGACAGCAAATTACCTCTTTCAAGAGTTCTTGAACATGCTCTTCTCCTGATAAGTTCTGTTCAAGTCTCTTCTCCAAGGATGCAACCTTCTCTTGCAAATGCGTGATCACTTTTTCCTTCTCTTGAGTTTCCGCAGTGACCTGCAGGTGAAGACAGAGATCACATGGTACTGCAACCCCTCTCTTCCTTCCTGACCTCCTCCTCTTGGAACATGACATTTCCATGAAATTCTGTTTTCAACTGCCTCTTGGAACAGCATATGGGAAGGAAATTGCCCTTGAAAATAGGACACAGAAGACGCAAGATTAGCACCCAGTGACACTCAGAGATGCAATTCAGACCTAGTGCAGCAAGAGGCAAACATTTCTGCCAACTTAAACAACTGACAGTCTGAAAAGGAACAAAGCTATTACCTATCTGGTGCAGGTAGCGGAGCTACTCCTACCCAAGATGCTCCCTGCCAGCCCTGAAATGACCTACAGAACAATGCTCCTGGAAGCAGTAACAATGCCAATGTAGCTGCTGTTAGGCTAAGAGAGATCTTCTGAAATGATGACGTTCAACTTAGCTCACAGCACACCTGGCCCCAAAACAACAGTTGCTCACTGTTTCAGTCTATCTCTTTAGCAATGACAGGAGTAGCAGTGGTGACAGGTTGGTATTAACTTTGTTCCTTTCACTACTACTAATCTCCAAATCCTGGTCAATGTCAAAGTAGAGAATCCAAGAAGCTTTGAATACATAAGTCCTTAGTCCCCTCATGGTCCCTGCATCCATGGAAGATGCCAATTCTCCTCCCTAGAAATGGTTGTATGGAATCAAAAGCTCAACCTGAAGAATTGTACCTCTTCACAATACTCTTCCCCCTCAAATTCCCTCATCTTATGCAAGAGACTTTTATGTTCAGCTTGTACCTGGCCAGTATCCTCAGCATAAGATGCAGCAACCTGGGCCTGGGTTGCCATTCTGAATTCTCTCAGGTGTGACAACGGAGGTTGTCAGTGATGGTACATCGGAAGACTGGATTCACAACCCCACAAGTTAACAAACTTTTATCAAGCCTAAACTCTATCTGTTGTTTTCTGGGGATAAAATCAAACACAGTTCCTGATGCACAAGCCTGGAGGCTGGTGGTGGAGGCAGATATACACACGACTAATTATAAAATAGAACCAAGCTGTAGTAAAGGAACACACAAAGTGGTATGAAATGTCAGAGGCAGGAGGAATTAACTGTCTGTGAGAATCACAGCAGGCCTCTTGAATGAGAAGGTATAAGTGGAAGAGGGTAGGAGAGGAGCAGGAATTCTGGGTAAAGGGCAGCATGTGCAAAGAGGTAACAGACAAGTCCAGCAAGACCAGGAGGCTAGGTGAAGGAAAGAGGAGGTAAACAGAATTCCCAAGTCTTGGCTCAGACGCCTGGGGAACATCACACAAGGCAGAAAGCATAGTAGGAAGAGTGAGTTTGACATATACATCTTATACAAGCTATCGTGTTAGAAAATCTAAGGAGAAAAAAAGCATCAGTTGCCAAGTTCCACTTAGTCTTTTTGTGCACCTTATCAACCTGTAATCCCCTTCTCCGGGCTAGCTAATCAACCTCAGGCTCCTACACCTCAAAGGACTGCTGGAATAGCTAGCTACTAAGTCATGCTTCCTGACACTAAGCCTGCCCCTTTCCATGATTGACCCCCCTCAACCCACTCCCTCACCAAGTCTAAGCCTCACAATTACAGTCCTAGAATGCAGACTGTGTGAAGTTTGAGTCTGATTCACACAGACATTAGCTTAATCATGGTTCTGTGGTTTATTTTATCTGTGTCATCTTAGACAAATCACTTAGCCTCTCAGATTTCACATGCTCATTTCCATCATCTGTAAAATAGGAAAACAAAATTTAACAGAAGGATAGATGTGAGTACTTGATGAGTCCCCACATGTAAAGCACTCAAATACTGAGCACAGGGTAACTATTCAGCTATTTTTGTTAAATACCCACTAATGAACATATGTGCAATTTCACATCCACTATTTACACAAACTGGTCCCTGCATACCTCTCCAGCCTCATCTAACACCATTTCCGCATTCTCTCTGAGATCTTGCCAGGTAGCTATCCTTTTAGTTCTCCCAATGTACCTTCCCCCCTTTCACTGTAAATGTATAAAAAAGTTTAAAAAAGTGAGATGAATTTCATAAAAAATACAGTAGAACCTCTGTAAGTAGACCATGCAAGGGACTGCAACAAACTGGTCAACATATGGAGATGTCAACATGATAGGTACACGCGGTCCATGTCCAGTCTATGAAAATCAGGTTGGCTTGACTTGGCGCCTGTGGCTCAAGTGGCTAAGGTGCCAGCCACGTACACGTAACGTGCTGGGTTTGAATCCAGCCCGAGTCCGCCAAACAACAATGATGGC